AAAAAAAAATTAATAAAAAATATCAATGTATGCTCATTTGATCGCATTTTTAAAAACGTACCAATAGATGGCCCACCCTGTATAAGATACAGGTAAATGATTTGTATACTACTATAATAGTTATTATAAAAAAATAGAGGATATTTTTTCGAATTACTGCAGATAATGTGTTTCTCTATTCATTTTAATTTTTATAATAATAAATAATAGTATTAAAAAGTTTAGATTTAGGTAAATGTTTACATTTTCATTCGTATACATAACTATCATCACAAAATTCACTGTAAGATGTTGCGCGAGATTCGAGCATCTGTCCAAGTGACATTTCCGCAGCATCAGATTCTTCTTCATCAAAGTAATCGTCGTTATCATATACTGCAACGAAAATAAAAACCTTAATAAAAGTTATACATAATATTTAATTCTGTTATAATAATTCAAGATAAAATAATAAAGAATATAAAGAAAGGTACGCAACCGATTTCGGACGTGTCCACTATAGGTGTATCCATTTCCATTGAACTGATTTCTTTTTTTGTAAATTCATCTTCTTTTCTGTGTGCATTATCTAATATTTTATCCAATGGTGTTTTTGGGGTATTTGGTTTAATAGAATATTTTTTTGTTAATAAAACCTCTGTAGACTTCAGTGTAGAATTAACTGTTATCCTGTTGTACAAAATAATTATTGTATACTACCTATTACTTATTAATTTCAATACATCTCCATATTTGATGATTTCACTGTAAAGGAACGTGATACATTGTTTTGCACAAAAATATATCTACCTGCTATTATGAACATTTTCAGCATTCGCATGTTGATATATTATATTTAAATACATTATCTATACAAAAAAATGCACGCCCGCGCACCACATTCCTTCCCACATGCACTTTTATCCACATATACCCGCTTAAAGTCTTTCTCATGTTCTCGCCGTGAGCCCTCTGTTACTGCGAAATCTCAATGTTTAAATGACCATAACTCTGCGAAAAAAAATCGCAGACACCACGCGTTGTTCTCGTCTTGGAAGATCCTTTGAAACGAGCCCCACGTGTAATTTAAGATTTTTCCGCCCCCTAAGCCTCGGGGATGTTAAAATGGGCGTTTTTGTATTCGCAGTACAGCTCATCGCGCCTCACTCTCGACGGCGCGGCGCCGCCGCCGCTGTCGAGTGAGGCGCGATGGGCCGTGCTACGAATTCGCGCAGCGCGGCTTCACCGCACATATTAGCTTAGTTTTAGACGTTTTCTTTTTTAATTCGAAAACTACAGCGAATATCTCGAAAATGATATCAGACTTTTTTGTTCCCCTTGACCCATTCTATGTCTCCAATGCGGTTTCTACCTTATTTTTGAGACACCTTATACAGGGTGTCACCAACGTATGGCTCCACCCGTCTTGAGCAGGTAGAGCGGACTAAACTGAGTTGAAAAGTACTCTACCATTTAGCAATGCCCGTAATAATTAACGAGATATTAACGATTAAAGAAAGCCGAACCTACCTACTATTGTTGAAGGTACGGCCCACCGAGTGCACAGTGCGCGAACCGCGCGAAGCGGGGATGGCCTAGCAGGCGTGCTACGTCGTTCGAGCTTAGGCCGGTATTCGTAGTCGAATCTTATTTCAAGACCGTCTTAAGTAATGTCTTAAGACGTTAATGCAGCCTTCTGATTGGTTCGTGACTTCTTAAGACTGTACTTAAGACGGTCTTGAATATAAGATCTGACTATGAATACCGGCCTTAGAGGCTTGCGGCGGAGTGCGGGGCGCTTGTTCCAATCCTCGGGCGCCGTGCGATCAGTGGGCCGTACCTTCGGCAATAGTAAGTCGGGCGGACACGCGTATTCGACTATCTTTAAACGTTAATATCTCGTTAACTATTGTGCAAACTGCAAAATGGTA